TTCCGGACTAGATATGGCCATTATGAATTCCTTGTGATGTCTTTTGGTCTTACTAATGCGCCATTAGCTTTCATGGATTTAATGAATCGGGTTTTCAAGCCATTTCTAGATATATTTGTAATTGTTTTCATTGATGATATTCTGGTATATTCTCGATCAGAAGCAGAACATGAGGATCATTTGTGTGTGGTGTTGCAGACTTTGAAAAATCAGAAATTATATGCTAAATTCTCCAAATGTGAATTTTGGTTGAATTCAGTGGCTTTCNTTCCTTGGGCATATCGTTTCCGATGAAGGTATTAAGGTAGATGGTCAGAAAATTGAAGCAATACAAAATTGGCCTAGACCCACAAATCCTACGGAAGTTCGTAGTTTCTTGGGATTAGCTGGTTATTATCGGAGATTTGTTGAGAACTTCTCTTCTATTGCTGCTCCCATGACAAAATTGACACACAAAGCCATTAAGTTCCAATGGTCTGATGCATGTGAAAAGAGCTTTCATGAGTTGAAGAAACGCTTAACATCGGCACCTGTTCTAGCACTTCCTGAGGGATCTGAAGGTTATATTATGATGCATCCAGGGTGGGATTGGGATGTGTTCTAATGCAGCATGGAAAAGTTATTGCATATGCTTAGAGGTAGTTGCGGAAGCACGAATACAATTATCCGACTCACGATATTGAGTTAGCAGCCGTTATATTTGCCTTGAAAATATGGCGTCATTATCTTTATGGTGTTCATGTGGATATCTATACAGATCACAAAAGTTTACAATATATATTTAAGCAGAAAGACTTGAACTTGAGACAAAGAAGATGGCTTGAATTGCTGAAGGACTATGATGTGGATATTTTGTACCATCCGGGCAAAGCGAATNTCGGGAAAGGCGAATGTGGTAGCTGATGCGTTGAGTCGCAAATCCATGGGCAGCTTGAAGCATGTAGAAGTTGGGAAATTAGAAATGACTAAGGAGATATATCGATTGGCTAACCTGAGTGTGCGGCTACATGATACAGGTGACCAGGGTGTAGTAGTCCAAAATATTGCGGGGTCATCACTGGTAGCTGAGGTAGAAATGCATCAATTTGAGGATCCGGAGCTAGTCAACATTAAAGAGAGCATCCCTTTTCAGAAGAAGCAGTTGTTCGAGCATTCTGATAATGGAATTCTAAAATATAAAGGCTGATGGTGTGTACCTAATGTTGGGGAGCTTCGTAAGCAAATTATGACAGAGATGCACCAGTCTCGGTACCCAGTTCATCCTGGTTCAACCAAAATGTATCATGATCTTTGTCAGCTATACTGGTGGAATGACATGAAAAAAGATATAGCCACATTTGTGGCTCAGTGTCCCAACTGCCAGCAGGTTAAAGCTGAACACCAGAAACCTGGAGGGCTACTTCAAAATATTGAGATTCCAGCTTGGAAATGGGAATCGATTAATATGGATTTCATTACAGGATTGCCCAATTCTTGCCTAAGTTCAATTCTATTTGGGTCATTGTGGATAGGCTAACGAAATCAGCTCACTTTCTCCCAGTTAGGACCACTTATTCAGCTGAAGACTATGCGAGCTTGTATATCAAGAAAATAGTTCGGCTATATGGAGTTCCGTTTTCTATTATATCTAACAGAGGTGCCCAATTTACAGCTAATTTCTGGAGGTATTTTCAAGAAGGTTTGGGTACTCTTGTTAACCTTAGTACAGCATTTCATCCGTAGACCAACGGGCAAGCCGAACGCACTATTCAAACACTCGAAGATATGTTGCGAGCTTATGTCTTAGACTTCAAGGGAAGTTGGGAAGATCATTTACCGCTTATTGAGTTTGCCTACAATAACAGTTATCATGCCGGTATTTAGATGGCACCTTATGAGGCACTATATGGGAGGAAATACAGATCTCCTATTGGCTGGTTTGATGTTGGCGAGACAAAGTTGCTAGGACCCGAATTGGTACAGCAAGCTGTAGAAAAGGTAAAGTTGATCCAGGAAAGGTTGCGTACAACTCAAAGTCGACAGAAATCATATTCAGATAACCGACGTCGAGACTTGGAATTTGCTGTGGGAGACTGGGTATTCTTGAAAGAATCGCCTATGAAGGGTGTAATGAGATTTGGCAAGAAGGGAAAACTCAGCCCTAGATATGTCGGTCCATATCAGATTGTTCAGAGAATTTGGCGAGTAGCCTACAAACTTGACCTGCCACCAGAATTAGAAACAATCCATCCGGTATTTCACATTTCCATTCTTCGCAAATTCTTAGGTGATCCTTCTTGCATCAGCCCTATTGAGGATATTGAAATTTCCGAGAACTTGTCATATGAAGAAATACCTGTTGCCATTCTTGACCGTCAAATTCGTAAGCTACGGACTAAAGAGGTAGTCTCAGTAAAAGTACTTTGGAGGAGCAATAATGTAGAGGAAATGACATGGGAGGCCGAGGAGGACATGAAGTCCAGATACCCTCATTTATTTGAGTCTTCAGGTAATATGCTTGAGAAAAATATGGCAGGTGTTGCACATATATCAACCAGTGACAACTGAGGTAATTAAGTTACGGCTAACCTTCTTATTATCATTATTGTATAAGTAAATGGTCGTGTGAGGCCAAGTTGATGTTATTATGATGATGTGTAGCCCTGTGTGGCCTTAGATATGTATGTTTGGGCTGATGACAGGTTTTGGATAGTCCTATTTATAGGGGAAACTCTGGCGAAATTTTTTTTTTAAAAAAATTCAGAAGTTAGATTAACAGTTAACATTCGAGGACGAATGTTCTTAAGGAGGGGAGAATGTTACACCTTGTGTATTCGGCGTTATCATGCTGTAAATGGGCTAATTCGATAGAAAGATAATTTCTATGAGATGTTTAAATGATGCGATAGTTATACGTTAAGATTGGAAGTCATTTGGGTTGTGATTAAAAATTCGACAAAGATCGCCGCAAGTTACGGGTTTAAATTTCACTGGAATTTGGATATGGTGTGTTCTACCTACCAAATCGAAGGTCTATGAGTCTAGTTTCCAACGCAACAAACCATTCATTAATACGACTTCGGAGTAGAGAGATATTAACCTTTTCGTACATGGGTGCACACTGTTACGGGAACAGTGTGCTTAGTCGGGTTTAGTTAAAAAAAATTTTATTTAAGTCATTCTTTAAAACTGAAACCCCTGCGTTTTATCCTCTCCAAAATAGAACCTAACACCTAGGGATTTCCACTCAAACTCCTCCCATCCATCTAGCCAATGATAACAACAATTTAGTCATCCTCAAGATGGAGAACACCATGGTAACTTCGGAATCGTGAATTCTTCGGTGTTTCACTTTTCATAGCAAGACTCCGCCTTGAAGTAATTTCGAATTTTGAGTAATTCTGGTCACATAAGGTATGATTTAAGTTCCTCTTTGATCTTTGTAAACTTCTACCATAAGAATTCCTAAGAAATAGTTGAAACCTCTATAGAAATGTTCTTGATTTTTTTAAGAAACCTCTCTTAATATGGCTTGATTGTTGGGGCTGTTCTATATGGTTTTATTGTGTTGTTTGGATCTGTGAAGACATGGATGGAATCTTGTCGATGAGGAGATGTAGTAAAGTAAAATTTGGTGGTGTGTTGGGGGGAAATTAATCTACAAAAGAGTCTACAAATTCATGGCCACAAGTTGTTCGCGTAAATGTCTAAATGAAGAATTATATAAGCTATGAGCTTGAATTTGATTTTGAATGGTTCGTATTATGTAGGAAATCATTCCTAAGGCTTTCGAGGTCTCGGAAACAGTATATAACTCCATCGACAAGGTATGTAGGACTTTCGCTATAGTTTTCAGCATGACTAGAATTCGAATAAACGTTTATCGAATTGTCTCGTCGGATTCGAGTTATTTCACCTTCAACTTATAAAGATGCTTAGACCTGATCCTTTCTCATAGATTGCTTACTCTAGAGGATATCTATGAATTCTCGAATTTCCTTGTTCCTTGCTTAAAAAGAACTAGAGCCTTTTTACTCGTTCTCCTTTCGACGTTCATATAAATCATGAATAAGTAACACTTACTTCAATGGTATTCATAATACATAACTCTCATGTTCTTAGTACTTGTTGGCTCGTAGTAAAAAAAAATATATTAGCAACAACCATGATAGTCGAGGAATAATGATGGTAGGCCACTTTGACTCTTCTTAGAATACGTCTTTTAAGGTTGGTTTCGTATTGCACCTATATGATTCATGATTTAGTATATGTATGTATTTACTTTCATTACCGAGCCACACTATAGACAGCCGGGTATGACACATATTGTGTAACCACTGATCAGTTGGGATTACCGAGCTTCACGTGGCCGGGTATGATTCTACCGAGCCTTTATTATGGCCGGGTATGTTATGGATATTATAGCCCCACAAAGGGATTTATTATTATATAATGGGATATATTATAAGTAGAAATAGTGAACGACGATTTCACGAGCATACATTTATATCCATGTTGAATTTTAGTTTCTTACCGAGGCTAGTTTCAGAATTCAAATTGTCTCTATATCTCTTCTTTTGTTAATTACATTTTTCATGTTACACTTGTCGCCCTACATATTCAGTACATATTTCATACTGACGTATTTTTATGCGTTGTGTTTATGCCCACAGGTTACGGATAGACAGAGTGGCGTGCCTTCTCAGTAGGACCCCCAGGATCAGCGTTGGGTTTCGCACTCCACTTCTTCGGAGTTGCTGACTTTGAGTCCATAGGTACTATTACAGATGTATATGTGTGGTTTTGGGCATGTCGGGGGCTTTGTCCCGCCCTGTTGAGATTGTCTTACACTCTTAGAGGCTTGCAGACTAGCGGTCATTGTATATATATATTTTT